TTGGGATGAAGTTATCCTTGCTAATGGTTTAGAATTCTGATCCCGTTTGAGTCTTTAAATTTTTTTATTCGATCAATTATAGTAATATTTATTGATATTTTGTGTTTTAATTTTCGTTTTCGACAGGCGAGCTTCCCTTTCTCGACTCATAGATCTAGACTGTACATAGTTTAAATTTCCATTAAAGATTTGCTGCTGCAGAGCAATATTGGACTAATTACTATTATTATCCTTATAATAAATCTTGAATGCCAAAAACAATACACATAATGAATCTTTAATTCATCGTAAGTGTTGCAAGTTAAATTGAAATCAATTTTCTCTCTTTGCCTTTTTTGTTTATTTTTTAAATAACTTATCGATTATTTTCAACGAGGAAACATTCATTTAGGATATTGAAGTTCTGCGCTTGGAGGAAGTTATTTTGACGAATTATTGTATTTAATGCATTATATTTTAAACTCTACAGAAGGAAATTTACTGCGAATGCATTTAGGATTTAATTTCTTTCACATTATGAGAGGAAAATCAAATATATGACAAAGGGCATGTATTTTTACATGAAATTTTTTTATTTTATGTTTTGTAAATCAACTTTGAAAAACTGTGCCACCTTTGAATTTCTGCAGTAGAAATGTCCTATGGTTCATCACTAATAATTTTTATTTCTTGTTATACTTACGTAAAAAATTCTTTACTTCTACAAATAAGCTATTTCAGTTTCACGTAAAATTCAGGAGATCGTAAGAAAAATTAATGTAACTATCCTTAAAGTCTCCTTGTCAACTTTTCGGTAGTATAAGCTCTGTATAAATTCCTCGTTCTATTATTATATCATCTCAAGCAACAATTTTTTCTACCCTATGAACACTTTTTTTCAACAATATATTATGATTGCGTCATTTGTTGTTTCCCTTGGTGCTATCCTGTATATATTTGATAATATAACTTCGTTACAGCTCCCCCTTGTCTGGACGTCCTATTTATTAAGAAACATTCAGCACTGTCATAGCCCTCAAGCAGGAGGCGACACTTGATATTTGGTCCCCTCGATGAGGAACTCGTTCACGTCCGTTCAAGTTAGCGCTCATAATTCAATATTATGTAAGCCAAGTCCATCATCAAACCGGACAACATTTTCCCGCGCTATACTTAGCCGCCCAACATGAAACTGAAATAAATGCATAACGTTTCCAGAAACTCTTTCAATGATTGCAATGATGTCATGCCCCTTGCATCGCTCTCTCGGACTGGGAAAATGACGAGGAAAAAGTTGTGGGAAAATTAAATGAAATCAACAGTTATGGAAATATGAAAGCTTTACTCCTCTTCAACCTAACTTACCTTATTTTTACTGATGTAATCACTTGTCTCCTGAGTTTCACAGACCATCAAAAAGTTTATACAGGTTTAGTGGGACAAATTTGGTACCATGTAAGTAGCTCAACAGTGAACTAAGTCACCTGAGCGCAATTGCTTTTATGGAAAACCATTGCACAAATTCAGAATGGAACTTCAGTTTACGTGTCCCATTGGGATGCAGCGACAATTGTGCTCTCATTTTCCATTCCATGCGATTCTACTCTGGTTGAGTTTACGGTCTCGGCAGAGCTGTGAGCGATCGAGTGAACATCGAATGCTAATGGTAACATCTCTTAATGCTCTCGCTGAACGACCCTTAAATGCGCTCGTCCCCGTTTCGACCGCGCACGAAAGACATCAACTTCGCTGCCGAAGAACAACCTTTTAAAAATGTTGCTGGAGTCGACATAAAATTGTGCTGCGTCCCCATGGCACTCCTGAAGTTCAGTGAACTTCCACGTTTGATATTGTTGGTTCGTTCTTATTTATGCTGAGCATTATGTAATTGCAACTGGCTACAAAATCTTCTGTAATTTTTTAACAGCTGTAACAGAGCTGTTAACAAAATTGAAACAGAGCTGTTGGTTACGTACCATCAACGATGGTCTTCACTTTCAACTGACTTCACTTTCAACTTTTTCAACTGAAGGTGTGATTGATGCAAGTGGCCAGGAACACACAGAAGAATTCACTCTCAGTCCGCCAACATATTGAATGATGGAACCTAAGGTTAGCGAAGACCCGGCAAACGGGTTGAAAGTATTTTGTCTTTTTAATGGCTCCAAGTACATAAATAATTTCAACGGTGTTGCTAATTTATTAAAAGTCGTCTCAACACCATACTATATTAGACGGCGTCAAGACTATAAATGACGCAAGGTAGCAGCGCAATGAGGAAACTGGTTCAACGATTAAGTTCTACTACTTGTAAAGCGGAGAAACTGCCCCTACCATGTTTATTAGCTTATTTATTTGTTTATAACTATATTATTGGTTATCCAATTGTGGAAAGAGTAAGCATAGTGATGCAAAATACAACTAACTATGTAAAAAATCAGGTTGATAAACAACTGTTGCCGTTAGGTATAGTCCAACTGAGTTAATGGTAGCTGGTATCATGACTAAAGGGATTAACAACGAGTATTTCTGCCAACTTTACGGACTGGTCGCAGTGAGAACACAATAGCTGTATTAATAATTAAGTAATTAATAACACAATAGCTGTATTCTAAACTTGCCTTTCAAATAGCTAAATTTTGCTAACTTCGTTGATATTTAATTACGTTCGAGAAGTAGTGTAGAAATGTGCGAAATGTTCGTACTTAAACAACTAGCTTCAATAATCCGGGGTTCTTAAATGTATACTGCATTCTGCGTTGTAACGTAAACTTGTATGCCCATCATTCTGCTGAAGTCTACTGCCAATCTTGCATCTCCTTTCTATTCCTTCCAGAACCATGAAGTCTCACTCGCGCCAGCACGCTTCAGAACCTGCGTTACTTTAGAAATAAATAATATATTCATTTTCTGGACTATTGACCTCATCATATGTTACATTAGTGGTAGTGGTATTATCAAACAAACCTTCTAATATGATGACAGTGACCTCAGTTAGATGTTTCACGCTGCATTCAAAATCTCTTTACCCCTCATTTTCCAGGAACTCCTTAAAAGGTAATGAACATGAAAGATTGCTCTCCTACATCAAATGGCTCACGTCCAAAAAATATCGCGGGCAAAACTGCAGCTTCAATCAGCCTTTCTCTCACTGGAATAAATTTCTCGACAGATGGCGATTGCGCGTAACTAATTTCTTAGCGTCGCTAATAAATCGAAACTGGTCTCTTAATTGTTCAACAGCTGCTCATAAATTCTTGTTATTGTGCTAACTGTTGGCAAAGTTAACCATTGTTTGCAAAGTAAATTCCTTGGCCCTTACGACCTTGAAGTCGACGCGTACGAAATGTTCGAACTCGAATCCAAACCTTTTGTTGATTATTCGAAAAGGGAATGTTTTATACCGTAGATATTAAATAATGTTAAAAACATCATGTATTTCAATTTTAACAAAACTATTTGACATTTTTCTTTTATATATATTACATATCTTACATGAAACATTAATGTACAATAACATCGTTTTAATTAGTCACTTAATTTATTCATAAAAGTTCTAAACTTCTCTTGGTACCGTAGTCACTGGGAGCTGCTTATACGATGGCAGGAAGATGGAGTGTACTACGCCTTCTCTGCTTGATTGATTCCCTCTTATCTTATATCATAACTGTTATTTATTGGGGTAAAATTCTTGTGGGACACAAAATCAACAGTTTTTGTATATATTTATTATACAAATTTTTATTTTCATACCAAACGGCCAGTTATTCCCGTCATCGTTTACTGTAATGTCAATTGTTGTTAGATTGAGATTTTCCATTTCTAGAAACACAAGCAACTTTGCCTCGCTTTGTTATATTTTGAAACAAAACGTATGATATTCATGGCCAGCATTCCAATACTTTGACCAGCCATTGGGATTCTAAACTTGCTGCTAATCTAGCGTTTCTGGAGGGATTTTTGCCGCCCTCTTCTTCGTCTGGCACATATTTTCCCTTGTGAATAGATTGAACAAATTTTTGACAGACTTCGGCGGGATATGCATGCATAAGATGCGTTCTTCACAAAGACTCCCATGCATAGCTGCGGAAAATTCCAGCGGATTACATCCACTCCTTTCGGACGGTTCGTTTTGCATCCGCATTTCGAGTCGTCAGCATTGAACGTCCCGACAATGACTTTAAAACTGCGGAGCGAGTTCCAGAAGAAAAACTGTTTCGAAAAATCTTTAATTTAAGTGTTGTATTGTATTATTTAAAGCTTGAAATTGCACAAATTTACAGCAAAATTAAATGTTTCATTTTGTTTAACTTTAAAAATATATTGAATGTATAACTATTTCTAACTCTTTGACGTGAAACCTTTATAATCAATATGAAGAATGTTTCAAGCCTGGGAATTTTGCATCCTTTATTCATATCAACTATACCCGGTGGCTGGTGGTATCGGAGTTCTCGCGACTCAGACGTGAACATTATTTCATTCATCGAATTGGAATAAATTTTAATATCATAAGGTTCCTGTCGCTGCTGAATTATTACTTCACTAACTTATCGTCAATATTCCAATTTTCCGTAATCGCAAATAATCATTGTTAACGAAGCCAATTTTGTTATCCCAGTTGATCTATTTTCTAATATGCAATAAAATAAACTTCATTTAACTGGCGATTTAAAAAGCCGGAGTTATTCATTCCCATGCGTCAATTGTTCGACAAATTTCCATAAACATCCTTATTTCTTGTAATTTAAGATTGTAAGATAGAGTTTTTTTAACATTCACTCGATGAACTTGTATTCTTGTCATTTTCCAGACCGTCTGTTCGCACAAGAGTGGGCCGTTATTTCTTGTAATTTATGATTTTAAGATAGTTTTTAACATTCACTCGATGAACTTGTATTCTTGTAATTTTTCAGACCGTTGTTCGCACACGAGTGGGCCGTTATTTCTTGTAATTTAATATTTTAAGATAGAGTTTTTTAACATTCACTCGATGAACTTGTATTCTTGTCATTTTCCAGACCGTCTGTTCGCACAAGAGTGGGCCAAGTACCGCTGGGGCGTGTTCGAGGAGTACGGCCACGCGGACGACCCGCTGTACCCGTCGTACCATCGTACTGACACCCGTACTCACGTACCCACGGGCTGTTCCAACGTACCAGTTGTCGGCATACCGTGAGTACCATTTTTAAACCTAAATTTAAATATTAAATTATTTTCTGTAGTCCTAACCTTTTGGCTGCAGGCAGTAACTTGGGAACTATTTTTTGAGCTCAACATATCTCATTCACGTTGTCTTTGCATTATTCGGATCTTTGTGGCAATGAAACAATTTCTTCGATTACTAAGCCCTTCATGAATTCAAAATTCAACCTTTTTAGCTCGGAAGACTGTGTCTGTTCCTCTCACAGTCCCCAGACTAATGCCCCTCGTGACGTTCGGTCTTCAATGTATTTTCCTCGCGGCACATGAACAAGAAAATGCTCGGAATCTTAGTCGGTTGAGCAAGCTTCTCTACGTTTCTATTTGCATTTGTTAATAAATGCTGCCAACGGCACCGAGACGCTAATTCGCTGCTAGCGAGGATGCCGTGACATTTCTATTTATCCACGTCCGAATGTCGATTTGAAGACGAAGACATTTTAATTTCAATGGTATTTATTTAGATAGCGAGTTCATCTACAGCGATCCTTAGTATTTATGTACCTATCGAAGTTTTTTTTCGAATCAATAACCAAAATACATTTCCAGGTATACAATACTTTGTTTAGTCATCATCATTATCTGCTTTACGCTTATTTGACGGTGCCTCTCAATCTTTTTCTTACTACAATTTGTAAACGATAATTTTCCTTGGTCTTCAAAAAAAGTAAATTATGGTGAAACCAATGTCCCATAATTCGAATCAAAATCATTTTTAATGTGCGGAAATTAAGGAAATATTTCCATATAATTACGTTTCGTGCTACTTTCATAACGAAAAATTGGTCCACCCAAAATTACGATTTTAATGGAAGAAATACATTTTAATTATATATGAACTAGCTATTTCTTCGAAAAGAGATCATAATAAACACTTTTGATTTCAAAGTTCATATCCACTCAGAAAATAAATAATTTTCCGTCCATTGCTATTTTTACATCATCATAACAATAATATTAATAATAATATTAATAATAATATTAATAATAATATTAATAATAATATTTCTCTTCATCGTGCAATTCACTTCTAATCATAGTGCTTTGTTGGCGACATTAAGGCAAAGCGTTCACTATATCATATCATAGTGATGTCGGCGCTGAATAATAGGCCTAATGTGGCCTGTCGCCGATGTAAATTTGTTATGTCCATCAAATGTCCATGTCTGTGTAAACACCGAACCTTTGCGCTACCAACAGGCTTCACTAATCATACTTTAACTTCTAAGTTGTGCATTTAATTGCGTTTATAAAACTGTTTTTATTTAAAGGATATTAATTTTCGTCGAGGTAACAATACTTATCAAATGCTGGCGTAAAAAGCGCGAAAAATTAGTACTATTAAATTAAATTATTTTAATTGTTAGGTATTTGAGGAACATTATAAAAACCGTCTATCTAAGTTTTAACGTAAATATCTTTTCGACATTTTACATGTAGTATCAACCTACTTGATTCTCAATGTTCAATTTAAAGGTTAACTATGAGAAACTTCAGCCCAAAAGTGGGGTGTTCTCTCTAAACCCCTTCCTGCCAGCGTCCGCATTGCTGTCGTCTCGCCCGCTCATCAGCATAACCTCTGCGGCAGAATAATAATTAGTTAACCATATTAGGAAGCTTAGAGCAGATTTGGCCGCTTCTTGAGCTCCCAAAGTTGGGGACGGGCGCAGGGTTTGCATCACGAGCCAGAGTTGCGAGCACAGGCTGTGCTCTAATAAACCTGTCGTGCCGCGGACAGCATCCTTCTTACGAACACATCAGTTGGAACTATGCGTGTAATTTTGTCTTCCCATCATTCTTCTAAATTACAGCCTTCCTAGCATGTGCGGTCTTTTGGAACCCCATGGTACACCAGAATCTCTCAGAATTATGGGAAGAATAGCCAATTTTAAAATGGAGAAATTCGTCCTCTTCGAAGGCTCATTGCTGAACTCCATATTTCCTTTTTCAATATTGTATATAAAATAGGTAACCGTGTTGATGATATAGTTAATTCAAAAATTTTTATTGTACATGACTTACAATACACATGGCGCACGTTTTAGTATTTGATTTTTAGTTGAATTCTGATTGAATTGAAAGATATTTTTCTTTCTGTCAAACTCCCAAATGATTGGCTAACTACAGTACCTACGGTACTCTTCAAACCCTGCAGTTTCTGACTAATTTCCTAGCGGCAGTTTTGTCATGAAATAGTAATTGCAAGCATAACTTTGTCGAGCAACACATAGGCTACTGAGGAACACCAATTACAGGATAATATATTGCCAATCTCAACTCAATGTACCAGAAATAAATTTTATGCAGATAACTGGCCTTATTAGTCAAATCTGTCTGAGTGTCATCTCAATTATCTAAATGTACTGATATTTTCACGACTGAAATCTGGGTTTATTTCATAATTCAAATAACCTTGGATTCTTGAAGGTATCTTCTCCTTGATTTTCAAGTTCTGTTGAAATTTATCGCAAACTAATTCAGCTGTTCATTGGGATCATTTTATTCGAAAAAAATTTCAGATGTTCGAGCCATACAATATGATAGGAAAATTGCTTTAAACCTTTATTATCCGCTTTATAACCGGACACAAATATAAATTGATGCACGCACACTGAACACGCTATTCGGAGGCAATTTGTGTATGGAAGAGTAATAAACTTCTTCATCAAGCCTCAAAATAGACATAGTGATTTCTTACCCTTAGAAATATTTTATTATGTCCAATTGAACATTTTTTTCCCCTGGCTGAAGTAATCTTTACAAGCTTGTCTCTGCCACGGCGGCAGTTGCCGGTTCACTGCTTCGGCCCCTAAAGCCGTCGTCTGGTTTTGAGGATGCACGCTGGTTCGGCTTCGGTCGTCTCTTATTATTCTGAGGGTGACTTTTATAGACCACAAGTATCCGGCAATGTTGTCTTTTTGAAGGCGTTCTCTCACCTCGTGTCCTTCTTTCTTGCGACATCATCCCATCGACTTGGGTTCAGTGGCTCAAAGGCGCGGCTTTCGTCTCGCAGTGAAGCTTGTTAAGGAATTTTAGGGCTTCTCTTGTACTGTGAGGAGTTGAGAAGCCGCGGGGTCTTATTTTATGGCCCAAGTGAACTGAGAAATATGGCCCGCCCGACGCCAAAGGCTAGCGGCGCCTGAGACATCGATGCTCTCGTATGTCCCCTTAGTAAGTCCTGGTGTTACCTGCCTTTGTCAACGAGATCTAGAGGTGTCGAACACTAATTTGTGTCGCGTGCACCAATTTTGTTCAAGTAATAAAAGCAAAATTACTGCTCTGCTGAGAGTTTACATTGTGAAGTAATATAGTCTCAAATAAATCAATTGGCAGATCGAATAGTACATAGAAGCAAGGAATAGATTTTTTTTACCTGGAATTTCACAGCGATTAGGTGGTCTGTTTCTTTCAACTAACTCCGTGCAAAAGGTTTTATTGTACCAGTTAGTGTCAAAATGAAAGAAAAATATTGTAAAAGACTGCTTACAGTACTGCAGTCTCGCATATTATGTGTTATTATCATAACGTCCATTATCTGGGTTTCTTGAATGTTGTCACTCGCAATATTCAAATATTTTTTACATGGCCATTAATACTCAGTAAGAATATAAGCTTGAATATCTCGTATTACTCTACGGTGCTATGCAGCATAATTACGCTTGTAGTAGCGCTGCTCATGGACGCGTCTGGTATGCTAATTTTGTCCGAGTTGTTGTTCAGGCCGCGCTCCTTTGAGGAACTTCGTGTTGCGCGCGCGCTCTCCGACTGCGCGAGGCGAGCTACTCTTCAACTCAAACGGGAACTGATTAACTCCATTTAAAATGGATGCAGGAGGATTATGAGACGTTATATGTCATATATGAAAATTGATCTGCAATTCTTGCATAGCATTCGAAAGTCGAATGATGTTAAATTGAGTAATTATTATGAAAGTTTAGAGTCCAAGAAAAGAGTGCATGTGATAATCGTGTTATCTTTTGTTAGTCAAATCCTCCGTTGACTTGACATTGTCTCTCATTAAACCAAGAATGAGGGTTCATGTTGTAAATTGTTTTCCTACTAATTAATTTTTCCAAAATTTACTTAGTGATTACGATCGTATTTGCAAAATAGCATTTCAGCTCATAAAAGGATAAGAAAATGCTGCTGTCTAACAACGCGCGATCAGGACCGACGACTGTAATGAATTGACGAAGTTTGAATGATACCCTAGATCTGGAATTGAGTAAACACTCGATCAAATATCAGTGGGATAAATACCGCGATGTTGAAAGTATAAATAATTTCCATTGCGCGTAATACTAAAAAAATATAACTCAGTACTCACTGCAGTGAGTGATAGAGAGCGCATTTTCTCGTCGACGAAAACGTGAAGTCACGGACGGACAGACGGACATGGCGAGCACAATGGTGCATTTTTTTCCATAAATGAGAAAATGCGCTAAAAAGATTGGAACGTCTAGAATCACTGCGGAAAAATATACGATTTTTTGCTTGTGGCGTCTCGTATAGCGGGGCTTGAAGAGGCATGAATTGGACGAGGACCCTCAGGGTACCGAGGATGGCCGCGCTCGGGCGCTAGATGAAAATTTGATCGACGGTACTTCGTTGCTCTGATTTGCCGCGTTTCATTGAAGCGTTGGATTCCATTTTTGACGTGAATGAATAGCATCCTCTGTGTAAAAATTTGAATAACTCAAGCGCACTTCTATATACTCTTTTACTAGTAGATGTTAAAGCCCTGAGATTTTACCGTGAACTCGCGTAGCTCTTGAAGACCTAATCATTTGCTCTGAGGACGCAATATTGTATACTCTTCGTTGTCAGTTACGTTTATCTGAAAATGTTTGATTGGAAGCTTTTGTGATTGCTCGCAGTTTCCTGTACATTCCGATTTGATAACATTTTGTGCCATGAGCTACGATGATACAAAGCTAGCAGCTTAGAGAAATAAAATTATTGTGCAAGTTGTTGCTGCATTTCTTGGTGGAAATACTGGACATGTTACGTAGCGGAATAGCGACTTGAGAAAGGAGTCTTCAACGAAGTGGTTAAGTTAAATCAACTTAAGAAGTTTTTGAGCATCTAATAGTTCTATTGTTTTATGGAATGAATTTGCACTAGAGCATTTAGAGTATTTGTATTAATTAATTGTATTTTCTATCCATAATTGTACTAATATTAATGGTTCATAGATAGAACATTTACAGTACGTTCCCGTATTACGGACAAAAGGCTAGTAAAAAGTCACCCGTATCGTTGAAGCTCGAAGCACTATCCATTAATGGTTATATAACGTCTTAGGTCTTTTGATGTCACGACATGTTATTTCTAAGCTGCTCGAGCTGTACAATGTTGAACTGGTTCAGGATTTGGGGCTTCATCCCTGACTTAGCTTTCTGCAATGATACTAGATTCTGGCATGTCAATTGATCCATCGTATCATTCGTTGCCTCAAAAGGAACTTGTTTTTTTTACTAATTTTTTCAACGATGCTTAAACAACATTGTTGATGGCCTATGAAGCAGTTGCTTATGGAATTTCAGTCAATTGATAAATGTATGATAACATACATTTATTTGTCCTCTCTGTTCTTATTATATTATTTTCGCAAATTCATTGAATTTTGTCGATACATTTAGTCATTTCTAATTTATCTAGTTATTATTTGAAATTTGAAATTCATTCATGGTTCAATTATTACTCGCCTAGAAGTCTTCGCTGAGGCATACACTTCACATGCTACTCATGTCGTCACATTAAATAATTTCTATTTAGCCATGCAAGTCATTCTCATATTTCTTGTGCAGATCGTCGTGTGATCCGTACCACCAGGCATGCCACTTCCACCCGCAGCCTCTGCGTAACATTAAAGTGACATCGTCTCTGTTGTTCCTGCACCATCTGCCCAACGTCAACCAGTTCTGTGATGAGACCACGCACGACTCAACCGCCCCAACCAAACACAACGCGCTCTGTGGTGGCCGTAGTGCTTGGCAAGTCATGAGTCAGCACAACGACTTCAAACATGGGTCAGTTCTTAGTCATCATGCAGGCTCTTAACAAAATATATTTGTAGTTGGAACAATCTTTTTGATCATGTGTTCTCAGTTTGAATTTAGCCTAACGAACATGCATTAATTTTTATCAAGTATTTGAATTTTTTAACTTTCTTTCCTGCATTCTTCATAAAAATATTTTTTTATTTGTAGCTATTTTTTCACGTAGGCCGCGTTACGAGTTTATAACAGAACACCGTCTGCATTTCATGATGCCACTTGCTAGACAATGCGTATTTGATCAAGCGCTGTTTGATCAAGCGGTCCCTTCTTTTCGAAATTATTCGCTATGCACAGCGTCCATGGCTACTTATTGGCTTATTACTTTTCTGCTAGATCTTGACCAGGCTTTTTCGAAAGGGCTGAAAGGTTCTGCAGAATTTTTCATCATAAGCCTTCAGAGCCTGCTGGTGTATGCCATCCTCCTAGGCCTGTGTATGCCACAGCTTCAAACTTGCGACGCTGAAAAAGAATTTACAAAATTGTTTAATGGTCTTGCACGCGGTACTCGTAAATCGGTATAAAGAGGTCCGGTTTCACTTGCAAAATTAATCCAAAAGTTGCTTCTTACGTTTCTACCTTGTCCATGAAATTATATTTATCTGTAATTTATGCCAGTTGATTGAAAAAGTAATAAGACTCATTTCATCTAATGAAAATATTTAATTTTTCGAATTCATTTAAATTTCAAAGAATTTAAATACTTCAATGGTTTTGTAATTGGACGTAACGGGGCATGAACGTGCTAATCATAAATAGAAATGCATCTGCGGTAACTTCTTTCAGAGCAGGCAACGCCGTTGTCTTCTTCACTTAACATTTGACATTTCATCAGGCTTTGCAATATACCGAACCAAAAACTTGAACACCTGAAATCCTTGGCATTTTGCTCTTTCTTATGCGCTTTTTCCCAATATCAGTCTCTTCTGTGTCTAATGAGGTCAATATTTTTCTTAAAATTAATACTGAATATGGATGAAGATTACAATGAATAATGTGTAATTCATACCGGTTTTTGTGACCATATGCACACTGCTAATACTATCTCGTTCGAAAATGTAGATCATGCAAATAATATCTTTCTTTTATTCATAGCAAAAATGCAACTAGCGATCATAACAATGGTAGAATGTTTTGAACAGAGAGGCATTAAAACAATGCGGGTATTGAAACCCTCTGCCACATTCTCCCTCTCACTCCCTCATTCCCCCCGGGGTAACGAGAGCTAATATTAAAACAGTGGCGCATTTCATGACATTTCGTTGGAGTCGCAAGCGGCCGCGTTGCTGCAGCTGAAGCTCATTCCCTTGTGTTCTCGCGCCCCCCTAATGACGCCGCCGGGAAATGTCCGTAGCATTCATTGCTCTGCTTTGCTGGCCCTTCTTTCTTGTGGCATTTCTGACTGCTTAATATTTCCTGCAGTCGTTTCGAAAAGTTCATTTGAAATATTCGGCAAATTTTGAATTTATTTGAAATATTCGGCAATTCCCTTATTCAGTCATCGCTGCTGATTATTTTTCGTGTAAGCTTCCCACTTCCAATTATGAGACAAATTTAAAAAATTACCAATGCGCGACTATTTATACAGGATAAAATTAACGCTTTAAAAATTAATTTCTGTTTTCCCAAAATCGCTACGGCGAATGTCGTCTGCTCAAGACATTAGCGGGGCGTCAGGGGATCAACTTTTAATTTGGATCTCTAAGCCAGCTTGATATTGTGCGACACCTTCACGGCAGTTACGCGATGCCTTGATCCTGATCGTGATGTGCGCAATCCGCTTCTCTAATCTTCGCCAGGCAACCGTCATTGCCGGATAAATGCTGCACAAATTGAAACCTGCTGCTCAGTTTGCCCTCCTCCCTTCGCTGAGTCTTGACTGTCGCCGCCCTCATGCTTTCTTGACGTGGATAATCTTGACGTGCGCGTCTCTTTCTTCTTCTTTATCCATTGTGGCATTCGGTGGCATCGGTGCATTATTTCTCTTACCACCAGCTATTTTATTTAAAATTAGATTTTGTTCCTGAAAACTGCAAGAAGTTCGATTTCATTCGATATTGTACGAAGATACGTTTAATAAATTTTTATAAATGTCACTAACAACTAATGTCATTGTTCTTTTCAAGCTTCATATGCCTATACGACTTCCCAGCCTTACTGGCATCTGCCACACTGTTTCACAAAAATTTTAGAGCTCTGTATCTTCTAATATTTGTTCTCAGATCTGCAATATTGTCCTGAAGCCAAAACGATATTCTCTTCTGAGGCAAAGCTCATTTTAAACGTTTGCTTTGGCAAGGATATGTGGGGGCATCGTTTATGCAAAGCTTTTATTGTATTTATGGTTTCTTGCAGAGCTTTTTGCCAGTATTTCAGAGGGAAGCGCCAGCAGGAAACTTTTAATGGTGGAGTCCGCGAGACCATTTCACGAGGACTATTTATGAGAGGGCTCGACTGCCGGCTCGAGAAGCGAGAGCGGAATCTGAGCCTGGCCCTAAGGTGCCATCCTTTACATTCACTAACTGACATTATGGCTCAAGTTACCCGCTCTCACTTTATTATTGACTGCTGCTGCACAATGCCTTTAGTTGTGGTGCATTACAAATGACTGTCTCCCATGACCAATCTTCGCAGCGCGCTCAGTCGTATCTTTTGAGTCGCGTGACGCTTCGTACCTGCCTTATCTCGCTCAATGGTCAAACTTTAACGAAGAGCATGGCTGTCCTTCACGTCGGATGTCACACCAGGAGACATTTCCTGTAATATACTCGCTGCTTTAATTATAGACCTGCTAAAAATAATTCCATCCGGTGTGCAAGTGAACAAGTTTCAGCACAAATATTTGCAATGATTACCTTTCGAAGTTGCTTGGCCGTCTTGTTGCTTTGTTCTTCATTAGGATTGCTGTCTCTACCGGAGGCTTGTGGAATTCGAGGGTCCTCGGAAGAGGTCCACGATGTGTAATGGCAAGTTTATGCGTCCCAGAAGCTTGGTTTTTTAATACTTTTGCTTGACGAATTTATTTTCATTCGGTTTTTATTTTTTCTCTATTTGATTTTTGTACGTTATTATTATCATGAGCTAATCAAGTCTAATGGTATTTTTTGCCGAGAGTTGCGTTGGTATGCCAGAGTTGTTTCTCTATCAACCCCGTTAGGAAACACTGAAACCATGGCATACCGCATCTTGATTTGCCTTGGATCCAACTTAGGTAGCCAGTCACAAATACTAATGGTGGTTTTTCACGCAGTTATTCGCCCTACCCACATGTACGAATCCAAACGTAACATTTTAAGTTTAAAAATTATTATTCATATCTTTCTGCGCATTCTTCGATGTTGCACTAAAATACTGTATTTTCTCTCTCGAGTATCAGAATAACCTGACAATGTTGCATCTAATTAACGCAATTATGTAAGCCTGGTGACATCGCTGAAAGTTAGTTGAAACTGCTGCCATTTGTAATCCCGGCGGCCTCTTCACTCCCTACTCATTATAGTCGAGCGCAGCACTGAACAATTATTCTCCCTTGGTCTGAATAATGCAAGCTACCTAACAGTCTCCTTAGACTTTTCTCTAGTGGCCTTAATTTCTGTAGGGAAATTTTGCTTCCACGAGGAGCCTTAGAAGCTGCTTGAGAGATTCCGTTCTTTCTTCAGTTTTTGAGGGCTCGCGTCTTGCCGCCATCTTTGCACTGCGCCTGAAAGTTTCTCGTAACATCACGTGTACATTCATTTTTAGGCGTTATTGAAATTGAAAGCAAAAGATTGGTTCCGCATTTCTTTCGATGATTGCTACGTTAATTTTAGAACAAGATTTTTCCCGGTTCATTTCAAGAGATACAATTACCGTATGTACTAACCAACCGTTTTTCATTGTGGTCAAGATTTTATTTTTGAATATTATGTATCAATAATTTTTTAATACGTGGCGAACTGTGCGTTCTGCTCTCGGTGAGCTTAGAAATATTTTCAAAATTTATTGGATCAGCAAGTCTTCCTTTGTTATCGACTTTCTTCATTAAGGCAATCCTAAATCACTTGGTATATTATCACTGCTAGCTTTTAAGTGCCTCTGCATCATTGTTGCATGAAAATACCACTTCATTTTGTATCAACAGTCTTCCCAAGTCTCACAAGTTCATGGGTTAAACAAAACCTAAATCACTGATAAAAATATTCCTAATTTTCGTAATAGCGGCGTTTCATCAGCTCATTACATCACCCGATGCCCGGCTCTGCCCTGTGATTTGTAATCTCGACTCAATTAGGCAGGTCCGGGCATAATTCATGAAGCAGCTTGCCTTTATCACTCTGTGCCCGAGGCGCCCTCTCATTCCTGCCTTATTTACGTGATTTAGTCGTCATTTTCGAAGTAACGAAGCCCTGGCTTGAGTCACTCGCTTAGATGCAGGATTTATTGCTCATCGCCCGGATAATATCGCTGGATGTGAGTCCCACATACCCTTTCATCATCCTCTTATTCACTCCTCTGTACCGCAACCCCACTCACGTTCTCCCACTTATTTAGTATTTCTTCATCTAGTTCACTGGCCTACGTGAATTATTCGTCATTTCATATACTGGGATCTAAGTCAAACTTAACCGTTTCATTCTGCCCGAGTATCATAGGGTAACTTTTTTATATATTCTCTGGCTCACTTATGATATCATTTATGTGGTATCATAAGTGGTATCTCTTACAGAGAGCAGCCGTATCTCCTACAGAGATACCACTTATGCAAATAGTATCTCTGGCTTACAATTACGTTCTTTGGTATACTCTCTTATGATATGCTTCCGCAATCCTTTTTCGTGTACCTGAGGTATCTTATTTGCTTACCACGTTTTGGCCATCAAATATGATCTTGAATTCATTCATTTATTGCTTTATTCCCAAACTTTATCTTTAAATTCAACTAACCGCTAATTATTGGTGGCGCCATCGAAATATTTCTGAGTTTATAGAATCATTTTATCCGAAATTTGGAAATATATCTTGAATTATTTCAAGGCTAAGTTTTAACGCTTCCATGGCGCATTATCATGCTTGACGCAAGATGGCGACAAGTAAGTTAAATATTCGCTGTATTTTCCGTAGATTTATTGTATCACGAATATTTTTCCTACCCGGGATCAAGTTCTCATCGGATTCATTCATCTTGTTAATGCAAGTGTTTAGTGCGCTTTTGAATAATAAGCTAATATTTACAAATTGTATGTATTTAACATCTGGAAACATAAATCCTTTGCTCGTTTCTGTTTTAATTTTTTTCAATCTGATCCATTGGTATGGTGGTTAACTTGACGGTTTTGGAATCATAACGTTTACAATGTTGTTCACTCTCAGCCTTGGTCATAGAGCTCAGTTCCTGACCAAACTGCAATTTGTTGGCTATGCCACGACCACTCCTCTTGCTCGGCTGAGCGTGGCCAGAGTTCAGCTGAACAAACCTCGATTATTTTGTTAGTGATATTCGACGCACTCAGGAGTTATTTAGCCATTTTAATTAAATGATAGCTCGACCTTTGATACTGGAACGTTTCGTTAAAATGTTAGAATTCGGTCGTCTACTGTTATGACTGGGCTAGGGAACCACGAAGAGTGTTCATAACTAATTATTATTTGAGGAAATCGTTCCTCGAGAGAAATTCTGTGACGTTGCTTGGATACAATTCTTAAAATACTGAAACTTGCCTAAAATAACTTTGAGAGTGAAATTGGTTGTGCCATCCGCGGGCTTAAACAATGTTCTGTATGCAGGCAATTGCAAATGAAACATTTTATAAGATATGTTATGATGATGTTATCTTATTTTAAAATTAGACAATACGGAAAATTATCCATCATATTTTAATTTCTTTATCACAGCAATAAAATAACAGATTTCGCCCAAGAGCGCCAATGACGAACTGTTTGTGATGGACATACAATTTAACACGGAAACAGTCGAGTGAGCACGGCTGAGGCTATTACTGAATGAGAACCTTTTATTTTTATGGAGGTAATTGGTAGCAACAGCCGTATAGTCGGACGTAGCAGCTGTGCCCTCTCTTTAAAGAGGGGCTCTTGGCCCTCTCATTGAATTACTAATGAGTGGATTTTTATTAAGGTTATGATAATTTTAAAACCTCGCTAATATTTCAGTGGAAAAATAGTTATGAGTTTCGAGGATTATTGATTAAAAGCTGCAAAAAATGTTCGCAGCAAAAATCGTGAATAAACTACACCATCTTCCCGGTTGTTTGATCGCAGTCATGATATCACCGAGAATTAAATTTTTGAGATTTCGCTGTATTTGCAATCGATGTTCGTCATCCTGCAATGATTACTACATTTCCTCCATTTTTCAGGTGCATTTTGCTGATGCTTAAATGATGTTTCATTATTTTCATTTTAATGCGAGGAAATTAAGATGAGCTTAGACGGAAACAACAGCACTACTTTACGCGTCATTTACGCTAAAAATTGATTGGCGCATCGCCGCCAGATATTCTAATGCAATTGGCTGTGAGATGATAACATCAACAACATCTCGCTGGCATTACTGGCAACATTCAATGAAATTCTGTTCCTTTGAAGAGTCTCCCGATCAAATGCACTTAAAGGGTCACTTCATGGCATATTAATATCTGCAATCTCAAATTTCCAATATGATGACATTAAATGTGATTTAAAAATGAACTTTAACAATATCTGTTTATTGAATGAATAAAACCAACTATATATTTATTTTCATTCCTATCTGGTAACATAGGACAATTTAAATTTGGAAAGATCTGTATATTGTTCATGTTTGCATGAGTTTTCGTATTGGCTGGTGTCAGACCCGTGGGCGCCGGTCCAGTGCGCAATACGCAGCCGCTCTTCAACTACATCCGCCCCGCCGCTCACCGCTACGTCATCGTCGTCGAGGACACCGCTGTCATGAACGCCCAGGTTAGTAGTTTTTCTCCATAACCTTTATCATTAAGTGCTTATAAAAAAGGATGAATGTTTTGCATAGACATTTTTGGTCCTTCTCTTCGCGAATTGAAATTTCTGTTGCGTCAGCCACATGACGTTGAAACTAAGTTGATTACGATTCAATCCCGTTCCAACTAGATTTAATCTGCGTTGTTTCAACGTTTGGTGCATGGTTTGTTGATACATGAACACTCCGTTGAGGAAATCGACGCTAGATTACTGCTATTCCGATAGTAGCTCCCCTCCTGCTTCCTCCCAATGACGTTAGAACAACGTTGATTTCGAGTTGATTTCGTTTCAACAACTTTTAATTAACGTCATTTTCATAAGGTTCTTAAAGTGGTTTCATATCAAACGCATTCCACTCATTCTTGGAAATAACAAGTTTTATTCATTTATCGCGACAATTACTTACCATGCAAATGTCAATATGATGCTTAGTTTAATTAATGATAATAGGTAATTATAATAAGATTGCTTTTAAGACATTAACAGATTGCTCGTATAGACTGAAGACACCTGATCGATTATAGTCCCACTTACTGCCTTCCGACGCTTGCTTTTTGTGCATTTTATCTCTGCCATCAGGCGGAAGTTTCTTTTGTAGCTCTTGTTGGGTGGCATCGTGGCACCAGAGCCAGCTTTTTTGTTTGATGCTTAATCACTTGATTTTTCGCACATTTTTCAGTTTGGTTTACTGCCGAAGTTTTCAGCTTAAGAGGCTATCCTAATGTCCAAGGGATTAAGTTATCGTCCGCCTTTTCAACCGTAGAGTAGAGTCACTTCGAACGCCTGATGATCTTGGGGCTGATGTTACTCTGGATTAAACATTTTATGGAGGCTTTTGACAAAAAATCAACTGCCAATAATTGTTATGGAAGGATGCCGCATGATTTATATTAAAACATTGACAAGCGAATAATTGATAAAATGTTTTCTGGGATGTTTTGTAAAATATATTTCAACTTCCAAAGCCAGGAACAATGTTGGAATTCACGAATACAGCAAAGTTTTTGTCAAACAAATTATCGCTCTAAGAACTAGAATTCATTTTGTCTCCGGTTACGTATCGAGACTTTTGAAAAAGAAAATAAAAAGTAGCTTTTTTACCTGCCAACAAAAATTAGAAAAAATACGGTTCTCGTTCCGCTGTTTATGACCCGCCGAGTTTATTTTCAAGCCGGGCGCAATGCGCACGCGTTTTGATGGCTCGCCGTAAATTAAAAGTAACTTCACTTTATTGCATATGACTGCCAGGGCCAGCCGTGTCGCCGTGTTTTTACAACTCAGTCGTAATTGTTTGCAGCCAAAACAGACGTTTTACTGCAGACTATTTAACTGCTTCGTTCTGTATATCACTCTTGCTCTCGGGCATTAAACATAAAAATTTTTCGGCAGAACCAACTTAGACTGCTGCCAGTGTTCATTATTAAAGAATGTTATACAGTTTTATGAACTTATGTTGTTAATGAATAAAATACTGAATTAACAAATATTCTGTCTACAGATGTAGCTCAAATCGTAATCGTTTTTTTTTTAAACAGCAGTTTGTTATTACTTGTAACGCTCACTTTCTATCATGAGATGAATTAAGACATTGTTATTTATTCAGTAACAACCTATCACACCCATTGATCGCATTAACGGTTATCGTTATCATTCACTAAAAACATTTCGTTATCTTCTATTCATTATTCATATTTAGAAGACAAAATATTTATTATATATATTTGTGTACCTATTCCTTATGTTATGACGTGAAAGAAGAGGCCTTGTGTGCAGACTTGCCGAAAATTTTAACTCTTATTATAAATTAACTTTCCGCGTCGTAATATCGCTTTAGATCTTCATGTGTGAGATTTTTTTTCGATGTAAATCCGATCTCTAACAACTTAATATTTTTCCCCGTTTTGGTATCATCTCAGCATTTCATAATTAATTTCAAATTGAAATTTTCAGATATCCTCGGATGTATCTTTCTATTCTTCGCTGACATTTATCTAATTGAAGATGATGATTTTGAAGCTCTAGAGCCACCCTTTCCTCGGATTTTAATTCCACATAGAATGAAGATAGCGCACGGGAGCTCACAGCCGAGCTTCTGGAACGGCCTGATCTCGGAATACTTGAAATTCACGAAGCCATATAATTAGTGAGGACTTTACCTCTATTTCGCTTCTAATTAAATAGTTTCTTTTGTCTGGAAGGCATCCCATGACCTAAGCCTCTGGAAAAGAAGGCCATTAAGTAGAGAAAATTTCCCGCGTTCCTTAAGAAGATTCGTGAAGGCGCCACGTTCTTCTCTCAGTTTGCTTTACTCGTCATCTTGAGGTCTTTAATGAACGACGTATACTAATGCCGACTCATTGACTCACTATACGGTACATGAACATAAAGTAAAAATAATTTGTATCTTAGAGAGAAATAAAAGCGTGTCACCTGTAAATTAATAATCCATCGTTGTCGCTTTAATCAGTAAAAATTCTGAACTGTACATCCATGCTTAAACTTTGTGCCGGATTATTTTTGAGTAATCCATTGGTGACTAACCTAGTTATTCATTTCGGAGAAGAGTGAGGTAACAAGTTTGTCCCGGTAAATTTTCTGAATGACTCCGTACATCGATAACCCAGATTTTTTTCTCATGCTGTTACAAACCACGTACAAAATAAATGGGTGCTACTGTTTAAATTCTGTACAATAAGAGTTGATTAATGAAAGATTGATGACAACGTCACTTCCTGACACGCTTCAATATTATTCTAAATGCATGCTGCAACCGGCAGTAAAAACTTAGTATTTGCGTGCACCGGCCACTGATCATCATCCACAAAATGGCATTCTCCGACATTATTTTGGAATCTCTAACGAGATTTTTCCGTTCTATTAAAGTGAATGTCAATAGTGGCCTGCACACTAATTGAACACAATTCGCGATGAAATGCGTTTGCTTTGATTACAGCCTGACAAAGACTTCTTTTATCGATGAATCTCATATAGTTGTGATTACAAGAAAATGCGAAAATTTGCGCTGTTTGAGTAAGAAGAGTTATTGGTTATCTTGTCTAGCGATAGTTGTCCATTGTTTATTGAATACAGGCCTTAATTGAAAATAAATATAGTCTGTAAAAGTTTAAGTACTGCTTTGCGAGCGACGGAAATTTAAAAATTGCCCTACTCTGCCCACTCCTTTGATGCTTTGATGGCTCGTAGCGATATTGCGGTGTTGTTGGTCTCGCTTCACATTTTTAATTTCCTCTCCCTGCCTCATTTATTTTTTTTTCTCTTGATATCCAATCATCTTCAGTTAATCTCCATTGGTAATAGCGTTAAACTTTTGCCCGCGATCAACTTTTTATTCGTTGAGACATGATTAACGATGTTTGTTAACTCGCGGAACCGTGTTACTTGTACACCAGACACACGCGACTAGATTTTTAATATTTTCTTCAACGAAATCTCCATTCAAGGACAGCGTTCAATTGGACGCATTTTTATGTTTGGCTCATCAACACCCAAACATCGCTGATTAAAACGTAATTATTTATCTCCACTCTCAATATTATTTCCAGAAACGCTGGGATCTTCTTCGCAAGGCTGTTCGCCGCATGTTGGTGTACGACATCCCGCCAGGGGAGAAGGTGGGCGTGGTTATCTTCGACTCTACGGCGAGCACGACGCTGCCGCTCATTCAGGTGCCAGACGCGCTCGAGGACCGCCAGCGGTTAGCCACTGTTTCGCTGCCCCGGACGCCGTCCCAAGTTATCGAACGGAGCAAGTGTATCCTCTGCGGACTGGAGAAGGCTGTCGAAGTGAGAGGCTATGATCCTTGCAAATCAAATTTACTCTAAAGACAAAAATCATGATTCTACTGAGGAAAACTATACCTGCCCTCACAAATATATTAGCTGCGCACCTTTTCTTTAGAATAATTTCTTACTGAATTTCCCGTGATTCATTCTCTTAGATGCTCGAGAAAGACGGTGGCTCCGCAGCTGGCGGAGTAATCTTCCTGATCTCGTCTGGGTCGCCCTTCCCGTTGTCGTCGTACGACTTGGAGCTCCTACGTGACCTGGTGGTGCCACGACACGTGCAGGTCGTGCCCGTGCTCTACCCTATGACCGTGCGCTCCCCCACCCCCACCTCCGGCGTCGAGCAGCTCGCTAAGATCACCGGTCCGTGCATTTAATGATTTTTTCGCATCTATATTAATAACTTCGTCTTTTTTCTACCCGTATTTGAAATATTTTACTTGGTAACTTATTTACATGATTACTTCGTAGCCTAAATTTTATTAAATTTTTCAGCACTTACAACGCGTGCTTCTTTTTTTACAAATTGTTTAATTAATTTTTACTAAAAAAACTATTTTATTTTTGCCTCAGACTCTTTTTTCTCGCTTAATCGTAACGTATAGCTTTATATAATATCAATATAGTTCGCGTTCAAAATTAAACAATTGGCTAAAATTTTCTGTTAAATTGATTGTTCAGAATTCGCAACAAACGTCGATTTGAATGTCAGTCTATGTTAACCTGTCGTTTCTTCGCCGTTGACATTGAGTCACTAGGGATATTTTCAATTAACATTTGGCGCCTGATGGAAATTCCTTAGAGATGATCTATCGAATACGTGCTCCATGATTAATGTGATAGCTCAGTAACGAGGTTAATTGCTTCTTATTAGCATCTTAATGAGGACCAATTGGAAGCACCGTCCTCGAATGTAAATAAACAGAAGGCCTCTTTACTGGCCGCAGCTCTTATTGCTAATATTAATTACCGTCGCTGTAATTGTACTGCTTCAACAATTGAAACTAAAATTATATTTACTTAGCTATAATTGCTCTATGATGCTGATTTGATGCTAATTGCTTTTTTGATGCTGGACTGATACGATTAAATAATTTCGCGTTAAATTGTCACTCCATTTCGCTTCACTCCATTTTGTTACAAAGTTAATCTAATTTTCACTGGAACAAAATTTACGTACGCGTTACCTAATTTGTTCTTGCACTTATTTTAAGCGAGATTTTGAGCACAATTGATGGTAACGCCGTGGCTTGTAGTCATCAAATTATTTTTAATCATTCGCATATGAAGGTCTAAGTAAGATTTTGGTTATTGTGTGAGGCCCCTGTCTTATTTATACCAGTATCTTCATATTTCGTACAATTTTGGTTATACCGTCATATTATACCTTCATGTTTCGTATATTATTGGTTCTCGCACCAGGTACGCAATGGTACGCCGTGGCAGACGAAGGTATCGGCTACGACAGCAAGGTCTCCATGATGGTGGTTATGCCATCATGTTTCATATATTATTGGTTCTCGTACCAGGTACGCAATGGTACGCCGTGGCAGACGAAGGTATCGGCTACGACAGCAAGGTCTCCATGATGGTGGTTATGCCATCATGTTTCATATATTATTGGTTCTCGTACCAGGTACGCAATGGTACGCCGTGGCAGACGAGGGTATCGGCTACGACAGCAAGGTCTCCATGATGGTGGCGCTGATGCGCGCCCTCTACAGCGCCCTCAGGATGTTCCTGCCTAACGCCGACACGTTGCCCTTACTCGTCCACCAGCAGGTGGGTGGAGTAGTGATGAACAAAAAAAATATTTACTCTAATTTAAATGTAAATGCATTATTTTAAATGAATTAAAGGGCTTTATAGGGTTTCCTTTCCAAATAACCAACAACCATCTTCAAAAGAAGCGGTAACAGTGTATAAATAAATTTAAATTGTGGTTTCTATGTCTGAAATCTCAATATTATCTTCATAAATAGGACTACCTTTTCAAATAATCTTAATCAATTTTCAATTAGGTTTGTGCTTTGGAAAATTTTCATTTTTCAGTCACATTAAAGTCCGGCCACATTTATTCCTACAGGAGTTCCCAGGTGGCATCGGTAGCGTGTCTCAGGGGCAGTTCGTCTTGGACGGAACACTGGGCGGGGAAATGCGCTTCTCGATAACTTATTACGATCTTGGCCACGTGGGCAACATGATCGTCTTGATTGATCCTCTCGGCCAGAACGTGGATACACTTAACCTGCAAGAAGAAGATGGAGACGTTAACATGATCTTCGTGACGGTCAAAAACGCTATGGTAAGTTTGTTCGATTTGTGTCCTGTTTTACATCTGTCATTGAGGTGCAGTTGCGCAGTTTGCTTTGATCGAAAACTCCGATACTTCCATTAAGGCCTTGATCCTATCTCACTTTTTCTCGTTTACCCGAAGGAGAACAAATGCGATTGTTGGTCACGTCTCAAGGTGATCGTATTGAGCTCAGGCGATGACGTTAGATTGTTACGAGTATACGAGCGCCCCAATTCTCAGTGAAAGGCACTTGATAGAGAGCGCTGCAAAACATTTTACGATGACAGTTTTGCGGTCGTAATACGCCTTCGATTCCGTTGCTTACGATGAAATACAACGCCTTGCCAATACATGCATCCAATTGAACGTCACTCTATCGTGGAAGCGTTTCGGCGATGCTGCAACAATTTTAATACCGCTTGAAAACGCAAATACTGTAAATTTTAAACTCGATTCGTTTAACTCGTGTTAATTCAATTTTTTCGGCTTAATATCTTAGCTTCTATTGATCTCTGGATCTGTTTTTTTTTCAAACCATGTTTTTATCTCGTTTCCTTCGTTCGGCAGATTTACTCATTCGTCAAATAAGAATCGATGTGAGTTTTTTTAATAATTTTGAAATATCCTTGTGAATCAATCAATATTTTATTTTCATTCGTGTTCAATGCCGCTTTTCTGTTTTTGGAATAAACGTCCCGTGTAATATTTTTCTAGATAAAATTATTTTATTAACAATACTAATATAATACTAATGATAATATTTGTCTCTCTCAGCCCGGTAGGTGGCGCTATAAAGTAGAGAACCGCGCGGACAGCCACCAGAGCCTCTACATCCACGTCGTGGCTACCCCCGCGTCTAACTCATCCAGCCTCACCAGCACCCCGTCCATCTCCGGCGGCCAGTACACCAACAGTCCCACGGCCATCACTCTAGAGGCCTGGACCTCCGAGACCATCGTGTCCTCCAACACGTCCATCACATCAGGGCCTGTCGTCATCTATGGCAAGGTATACGTCAGTCATTTGTGTTAATAATTCAAACGGCCTGAAAAATGTATGGGCTCTAGAGACGAGGATAAACTGTTGCTTACATTCAGGATAATTCCAAATTTGGATTCATCTTGGATTCAATCTAATATCTGTCCCAACGGATTATTCTTCTAAAAGGGTTTTTATGCAAATTTTCAATCTTTTCTCCAATAACTCAATAATGCAATTAACGATCCGTGATATTTTTGTGCGCAGAGAACTTTTTTTTATGTTATTTACCTACATGAAAATATCTGAAATTCCAAATTCGCATTCTTTCTTCCGGTAATTTTTTAAACATTTGATTCCTCTCAGAACTATCGACTGCTTTTCTGCAAGATTTGCCCATCGCAAATTTGGAATACGATTACAAGTCTAACATTAACTTTGTCTCAACCCGTTGTCACTCACCGACTCTCTCCCTATTGTTGAGTAGCGAACATTGTTGTCCTATCCTTAAGTAGCGTTGTCCTATCCTATACCGCCAGATGTCTCTCCATTCACAAACTTTACAGTACTTTTGCATGAAAAGAACTTCTCCTATTCTGAGCATTGCTAACTGCAGAATATCAAGTATCAAATTTGTAGAATGCACACTAATTCGGGCTTTGTTTATAGAATACAATGTTGACACTATTCAAATCACATGTTATGGCATACACGCGTATATATGCATGTATACGTAATAGCCGCCGGTTTGTTTGCGTGGTGTCGAGTCACAATTGCCGCGTTGTTTACGTTGCTTACCTTGCCATTTCGGAGACTTCTTGCGCTGGCTTTGAACGCGATATTGGAAGGAAAGAATGCCGGAACAGGAGCATTCCATCCCTTCTTTGACTTAAATTTTTTCTCTTCAATATAAATACCGACTTTTGAAGTGAATTTCCTCAGCCTGTTTGTGTCGTGAAGGCGGAAAATGTTTGTGGTGAGCCCATTTGCGATGCTGTGCTTGCCTGGAGCGGTGGGGGGGGGGATATTGAGACGCACGCCACTAATATTTCTACCCGTAAAAAACAGCTACTTCAAGGGAGGACCTTCCTTATGCCTGACAATATATTCCGAAACAAAGTTTTATACACTATTATTATTATTATTATTATTATTACTATTATTATTATTATTATTATTATTATTATTATTATTACTATTATCATTATTATTATTATCATTATTATTATTACTATTATTATTATTATTATTATTATTCTACGAAACAATTATCGCGGCGTCTGGTCCAAACGAACTTCGAGAGCACATTACACATAAGTTTAATAGCAAGCAAAAAAATATGAGTAAACAAATTTTAAACGACTAAGCACGATATTCATAGGCTCTACGAAATAGTTCTGTCTTTAGGCGTCGATGAAACGCCTGTAAAAGAGAAGCCGATTGTAAAGGAGGAGCCGATAATACGGAAGCCGAGATCGAGAACGCTCTCTCGCCGACGGTAGATAGACGTGTAGATGGTGCGACGAGGTCCGCTGTTGATGACGAACGCAGTCGTCTCCTAGAAAGCAGATCCGACACGCGATGCAGACTTTCCTCGAGATAAGGAGGAGCCAGACTGTGAAGGCATCGGAACATCAGAACAGCGACCTTGAACTGCGTTCGCTGCTGTATGCGCAGCCGGTCAAGATCGCGCAATATGGGCTTATCGTGGTCGAATTATCGTTTATTGCTCGCGAATCGCGCAGCAGCGTTCATTGCGGATTGCAGTTTATTAAGTGCATTAGTCGGAAGTATATAGAGTGTGGCATTGCCATTTGCCATAGTCCAATGTGGCCAGAACGAACGCCACCACGAAGGCCTCAACGACTGACCTCGAGAGAAAGCGACTGACGCCACGAATTCGTCGCAGTGCACCAAAACAAGCGGTGGTGACGTTCTCAGTGTTATTGTTCATAGAAAGTTCAGAGTCCAGCTGAATGCCGAGATTGTGAACCGAAGACACAGCAGGCATGACGATTTCGTTCGCCTACGTGAACAAGGTTGGCCAGAAGCTGATCTGTCGCCGAGCAGGAAGCTGAACTGTCCGTGCAGGAATGGCAGGATGAGGTCATCGAGTACACAAAAGAAGATGCATACAAAGATTTTCGACGAAGTTTGCAACACGAGGGTAACAAATTTTATACTGGTGTAAGCTGTTAGAGTAAACGGAGTTCAGCAGAACAAGTCTACTTGCAGCCACAGCTGCGCAAGACTCCCAACATATCGGGACATCGGCTTAAAGTTCTGCAATTTTTGCCTAAAGGATATCGTTATTTTTAATAAAACTTTGTCGTTTGTCCACAAAAAGATATAATTTTTCAAATAATAATATACATGATGCTGTCTCGGAATATCTGTATAGAACCGCCGCAACATGACGATATTGGGTTACGAATCAAGAGTACATACATTTTTCTCTACAGAAAGTAGCCAGTTGCAGCATCCTTAATAATACTTTGTCGTTTATTTACGGAGAATTCATATTCTTACAACTAATTATGCATTTCAAAGAAGAATATACATGATAATATCCTCCGCAGATCTGTATTCCCGGGCCGCAGCATCACCATACTCTGGTTGTCTATTTTTATTATATACCGCCTATGTCACTTGCGAAACATATGATCATTCAATATAGAAACCTTTTGTCTGTTGTTAACCTGCAATTATTTTTTTACTTTTGTGTTGCTATTGTTTACTCCAATGTGGACAAATATTATGAAGTATGTGTTGGGTGTGAGCAGGTATGGTCTGGGCGTGGTCCGGTGGTAGGGGCGCAGGTGGAAGCGATGGTGCAGAGACTTGGTATGAACAGCACCGGCAGCGCCTTCCAGCCTCTCGTCTTCACCCTGCACGACAACGGCGCTTGTGAGCATCTTTACATGAATAACAATTATCTATTGCACTTTTGATTATCTGTTGAATGAAGTTGTTTTCTACGGAAACGATTATTTACAAATTGGATGTACCTGCGGAAGTACGGTAAAGTACCCACGCATTTCTTCCTTTCCCCTATGTTGCTTTCACTTTCCCATGTTATTTCTGTTCTCCGATGATACATTCATTCTGGAACATGTATTTAATTTTGTAACAATAATTAAATTAAAATTATTCAATTACTGAATGTTATAAGAATTTGTAGACCAACAATGTCAGGTTAAACTTCTATAATTCAATGTCATTACCATTCTTCAATTTCTCCTCCATTCGTTTAGTTCTATCCTGCATAATATAAATTCTAGTTTCGATGTTACATCCTTACATCAATGTGGCATTGTTGCGGGAAAGCTGTCACAAGACGATAACTGGATAGCTATTCTATAATCCAACCTACATTTAACTGACTTCATGAAGCGGTAGATGAATCAAGGGCTGTTCATTACTGTATTTAACGATGACGATAAGAAATAGCTTGATTCTGCCATAAGTAAAACTTTCATGAGGCAAAGCAGAGTAAAATCACGGTACGCATGTTTTATTGAAGCTAAGACTATATTAACAGGAACACTACTAGTCGTTTCAAAGTGTTTGCACCGAATTTGTCTAATAATTAACTCCTATATTAAGATACATAAATTAGCGATGGGTAGACAAAACGTAGGAGCTTGTTGACGACGTTTGCCACACAAGTCACGACTGTGAATTTCACGAAGCTGCGCTCAGTAGTCGAGGCGCAGAGGCTTGCTCCCTGCTATCACCAATGTAGTCGCTGGTAGAACTTTCTTAGTCAATGCGCTAAGTGGTCTTTGGGGCTGGTTCCAAACATTCGCCGCTGTAGTTGCTGGTAGAACTTTCTTGAGACACTGCATTCGGTAGTCGAGGCGCTGGGGCTGGTTACCAGCAATCACCATCGAAGTCTCTGGTAACACTTTCTTTGAGGCACTGCGCTCGGTGGTCAAGACGCAATGGCTTCTTCCTGGCAATCACCATCGAAGTCGCTTAGATTGAATAACGTCGCAGTTGACAGAACTCCTTCTCACTAACCGAAGAAGCATGATGCAAAGCCTCCAGGGACTGTCACCAATTACCAGGCAGCATGAGGCCTGGAGAACCGATGACCACTGCCGACATCACGATGGTCCAGGTCTTCACCTCAGCTCCTACAGTACGAGCATGAAACGTGCTGCGAACAGGCTTTATAAACTGCGAGAAATGCGCTGGCGAAAAAGAAATGAGACCAAATATTCGTAGAATCTCGGGCTCCTACAGCGTTTGTTCTGCAGTATAACTTCAAGCCGTTGATTACTCATATCTTTGTTACAATTATACAAGGTGGTCAATATTTATCGTTATAAATTACAAAAGAATCCAGAATTAGTACAAAAATATTTACTCGATAAGCCGTAATCAGCGGTAAACCGGTCTCGCTTACAATAGGACATTTCATCACTGGAGATACCATCAATAAATAGTATAACAATTACCATTTATTTATTTATAGTTTAAGTAATTGTTAAATTTTCATTTTTGAGAATATAAAGATTCTCAATTAAATTTTAGCAGTTGAATATGTTGTATTGGAAAAAATTTCGCAAGTTTAATTTTGAATAAATTGTTACGGTAAATACTCGCGACCCTGCTGTATATTTCGTATTCTATCCGGAGTAGCTCGTTGTATTTGTCCGACGTTCATTTCTACAACAAACACCACGTATTTCAGTACCTGACGATCCATCCCGTAGTTTCTCCCGGCACCTCTTAAGAAATACAATAGATCGATGATTATAATTTTCCGTTTTTGAATTGACCTTTCTGAATTCTAGTGCTTTCTATTTTTGAAAACGCCAATAATTTTTTATAACGTCTGACATAAATCAGACAATCATTTCATCCAGGCATTAACTATAATCTTTTCAGTCCCTAAAATTTAACATCATATAAAACGATTCTGCTTCTCCGACCTTTCAGGCGCTATGTCGGAAAGTTCTCACACATATTCAGTATCAAATAGCATTTTGTGCCACTGGGCGGCCATAAAACTGATGTAATTATCCTGTGCAGAGCGCTTCATCTGTGTCGCAAATGTGCCCCTGATTAGCGTGCACTCATAACAGTGCCATGGCAGCTCAAGCGCAGCGAAATGAGCACTTTTGTAGAGAAAGTTTGGTGGCTTACGAGGCCCTTCAACAGCCAACTGCGGCGCGTAACTTTGCAGCGTCGAGCGCGCCCCACAACTTGGGTCCAATCTTTACTGGAATCTGTTAAATATCGGGGCCGTTTGCTCAACTCATTACGCTTTTAAGGAAAACTTTAAGAAGGGGTAAATATCACAATATTTTAACATAATTATGTCAAGTAAATTATAATTAGTTGAGTCTGGTAAATTTGCACACGGGTTTACGACTTATGAGATTATTTTTCGCGGGTTATGCGATATCATTTGACTGATAGTCGTGTAGAGCTGCAAACGAGTCCTCGGCAACAGTCCACGCCGGGAATTTATTGCCTGCGTCTTCGCAGGTTTTAAATCAAAACTTAACTTGCGTGACATTCCAGCCCGTGGCCCGCATGCCTCTGCCGCTTGCGCTCCCGAATTCCAAATCTTGACCTGAGCGACTCACGCTGCAGCTGAACGAAACAGCGCTCATAGCGATGAGCACGATGACTGCGGGCATGAATGCCTGAGCGAACTATGCTACTTTTTGATGCGAAAGCTTCAGAACGCTGCAGCGGAGAAAATAGTTCATTGCCAGATATATAAATTGACCGAAAAATTCATGTTTTTCCTTCAATACTAGATTGATCACCCCCATTTTGGTAGAATTCATCAGTTTAATATTTTGTCTTTGCGTCCTGCAAATCACTAAATACAGATCAAACGAATACATAGAGAAATATGCATTCTATTTAAGTAGGATCCCATCTGATGAGTTTAGACTATTATTTTAGTGACTTCCTATGAGAAGAATACGTTCCGTCAAACGATTTTTTCATCTTGACACACGCAGAACTTATATTCTCATAAGTTTAAGGCAGGTGTTTTTTTTCTTTTGCAAGATGAGCATCACTCTAGGTGTTCATCATAACACAACCCTTTTTCATAGTCATACCTCACCGCCTTATCCTCATCATACGCCTCGCTCAATATTCCCCTTATCGCTCCCATTATAATCAAATCCATACCTCAATATCCTATGCTCGTCATGCAGCTATACCATCTCATCCTTATCACACAGCTACACCATCTCATCCTTATCCACAGCTACACCATCTCATCCTTATCACGCAGCTATTTCGGCCTTAAAGACAGAAAACATAGAAGAGCACTTCTCTTCCACCATTTTTTCGCTTTTTACAGCGCTAAGTGCAGGTTGTTGGCAGTCCTGGCAATACCAGTGTACTGACTTGTTTTTACGAATAACCGCGCAGTCTGTCTTGCTCAACTTTGCACAAGAGTAACATCAGTGTGAGAGTAACATGCCTGTTATCCTGACATCTTTCATTTATTTCTGCCGCCAGGCGCGGACATCACCGCCAACGACGGGGTGTACTCGCGCTACCTGCCGGTGCTGGCGACGGGCCGCTACACGGTGCGTGTGAAGGCGACGGATCACAGCGGCCGCGCCGCTCTCGTCGTCCAGGACCCCGCAGCGCTCAGCCCTCGTCTCCTGAGTGGACACTTCGTCTCTTCGGGCCGCCGAGGACGCGCTGTTCCCAGCGACCAGGGTTCGTCTTGTCTACGTTGTAGAAAATTCATTTGTATTGCACATTGACAGACATAGAAATTAAAAACAGAAACAATTGCAGACTTAAGAAGAAAATTGTAGGTTTGACTGTCACGACCATAGTCAGTAGTATTGACAGCCATATACTTACGGCCAGAGGCAGCAGTAGTAACCTTCACTGCAGCCACGGTTTGTTGTAGTGACTATTAATTACGGCCAGGGTCAGTACTATATAGTGACTGTTACGGAAGGCCATGCATGGCTTGTAGTAGTGACTTTTAAACAGTACTTACGACAGAGGTTTGCGTTAACTCTCCATATTTTGATTCGCTGTGCGAAAGAGCAAGTATGATAACTTCGAACGAAAGTAATTAGAATGCTTTTTTTAGATTCTCGTGTTTATTTTCGTAATTTCTTACTACTAAAGTACCCTCAATTTTTGTTCTATCGATGACATTTCATTTTCCAACATTTTGAATCACATAGAACGTGTTTCTTCTGTGCTTACAAGCTCTCATTTACGTATGCATATATACACTTTACATTTGTATATTATCCTTTTAGCTAAAGACATTCCTGTTCTGCTATCACACAAATATTCATGGCGCTTTTCTCTGGTGATGGACGGCTGAGTGCGTATAATTGCTCTTAATAATTTCATCCTTTTGTTTTCTGGATCGTCGCGGTGTCGGCCATTAAAGCAGTTAAGACAACTACGCTTGAACGGCTCGCGTTCTGCAGAGAAGGATAATTTGGCCTGCGGTCGCCTTTTGTCCTGCTCGCGCGCCGCACAATGGATGCGTCGCATCCGCAAATGGTCCTTCCTTGGCTGTCCGGGATATCTCGCCTCAAGCTTTTGTGACTCTGATCTCGGTCGCCACTTTTCTTATTGTCTCGACAGACGTGACGAAGATGCAGGTGTTTTCTACTGTCTGCTCTGCTAATTTATATTGATTTCCGCCACTTTGTTCTTTAGATTTATTCTATTTTATTCTGCAGCTACTGCTAGAAGGTTTCGAATGTGGCGAAGGAATTACGCTCATTCTTCTTTCCTTGGTATTTATCGAGTTTTGCTTAAAAAAATTCGTTCATGGTATTTAGGTTGTTTCAATCTGGATATTTCTTTCAATGTAACAAATAATTTTTATTTCACTTATAATCCTTAATTTTTTCTTGTCTTAGGTGAGACGGAGCGACTTTGCCTGTGTCCCGGACTTCTTCAATCAACATTTTCTTTTCTTCGCATAATTTGCAGTAAATTTAACCTACCTTTCATGCGGTAAAGCATAAGTCATATATCGGTCATTCCATTGTTATATGCAAGCATTTATTATTTCTTAACAGAAGGCCCGTATTGCTGCGGGTCGCGAATGCCCTACACCAGAACCCAGGACGCGGGGATGATCGCACGGGAAGACATCGTGGGGGTGGTGGACGTCCTAGAGGAGATGAGTCCCTACCCTCCCTCGAGGGTGACGGACCTCAGGGTGATAGTCAACCCTGCCGCCATGCAGGTCACTCTTCACTGGACCGCCCCTGGCAATCAACTGGATCATGGCAAAGGTATGTATATTTAATGCATATTTGATGAATGAATAAAACGTTTCCCCTTTTGGCAATCATAGAGAATGTCGCTAACGACCGCCTTGTCACAGAAAACATTTTTTGGACAACGATTACAGACTTGATTTAGCTGTCATTATTTTAAGTCAGATATTTTATTATGAATCCTGAAGGTATTCTACCTCAGCTACCATAGATTTTTCCCGGAATAATGCATAATAAAATGTTCAATGAAAGATATCTCGTATAACAATCATTGATACTATAGTCTGATTAAAATCGGGAGATGAAATAAGTAGCATAGTGAAAATCTGAACATCTTTTCTTGATCTTTTTGCAGCCTCTCACTACGAGCTTGTGTTTGGTCGAAACCCTCTGGAGGTGGCCAGCGGCAAAGGCACTCGAAAAACTGACGTCGCAGTCACGGAAGCTGCAAGCAAGCATACGGAGTACAGTATGAAGCCCTGGCACCATCACGGTGCCATTTACTACATTGTGATACGGGCCGTAAGCCACGTGGGACTTCCTGCACCTTGGAGCCCTATGGCAAGTTTCTTCGTTCCTTCACCAGCTACGACAACTGAAATTAACACGCGTGGATCAACTCAGGCCGGGGCCACTGGAGGCTCAGTTGGAAACTTGGAGGCCCCAAGACGGGAGTTGTTGTCCACGCGAGACTTGTTGGCTATCGTAGGGGCAGCTTGTGGCTTTCTGCTGATCGTGCTTGTTTTGTCTGTTTATTACGTGGTGATCGTGACGAGAAGGCGGAGGCGCCAGCAGGAGAAAATTCCAAAATCTGATTCAATGAGTCCTCCTGAACCCGAGAGCGAAACTGACTCCATCAACAAGCCGACTGATAAAGATCTGGTGATGACCGAAACTTTGAAAGAGCCTCGCCCGCTGAGCCCAGTGCAGTCCTGGCCTGCGTCTAAACTTCTCAACGAACACGAACGTCGGCGCCCAATTGACGGCCAGAGCAGCGGACCAGTTGAAGGAATGCACTTACCCCCTGACCTTGGAGTGCCTGCCAACCCACACCCCTTCCTTTACCATACCATGAACGGCAGATACATCGAAGATAACATTCCATTTGATGGCGGCTCACTTATATCCACACAACCATCCGACTCAATGCTCGTCTACCGCCTCGACACTGGAGCCACTGAAACCGCCCGACCTGCCGCCTCAGGTGTCTGGAATCCCCACCACGTCATGCATTCCCCCTCACAGCAGCAGCAACAGATGGTTCCTCCACAGGACCATCACGAACTCCATCAGCAGCAAATTCCGCAGGAACATTCCGCGACGACACTGCCGCATGACCGACGACGGCGTAACGTGACGCAGGTCTAAGAGAATTTTCGATGATATTCTGAAGTGATTTATTTATTTTCATGACCGAGATAGGAGTGCTTATGTATTTTATTTTGATTCCAGTTAATTAGCTATTGACTTCAAAGAAGTTGAGTGTCTGCCGCACTCGCCTAAATCATCGCACTTTTACGACTTTTTTCAGCGGAAACTTGGAGTCTGGAGTCGTAAGATATTCTTCCTTCAATGTAGTCTTTGCGACTTATTCGGTGTTACTTACTGTATAGCGATCTATCCGTTTACAAAAAGCAGACGCATTAGCTTCAACGGCTCCGTTTAGTGATATTCGAAACTTGATTTAATCCGGGATTTGAAATTTTGGAACAGGATATTCGTGACAAGAAAATGTATGTCACCTGACTCCTGAGTTGGAAGTGGGACTTGATTCTAAACTAATAACTGTGATGATTGTAGAGAAAATTAGTTTCCTCTATTAGTGTAATTTATACTCGTAACTAATCAGGTGTTGATTGCTATTATCGTTCATACATGGACAATCATTTTAGCAGCGTTTCTACAGCAATCTCTCCAATGGCTGGCTGGAAATATTTCAGGCTTACGAAGGAGGTGTAATGAATGAGGCTGCCGTATAGTGCAAAGTCCATGTAGAGTCCTCTTTTCAAGAGGAAACTCTTCAGTGAAATGTGCCTAAACATGTCCTATCGATACTTCTCATATAGATACTATTTACGACCGAGTGATCTCTCTTAACTCTACTTTTACACTACCGTTGTTCGCGGCGTCAAGTTTTCGTATAAGAACATGCAAATGAGGCTTCGTTGCGAGCTTTGTCGTATTTAGAGTGACGATTAGAGCTTGAGATGACAGCATGATTATTTGTGTTCTGACGATACTCATAACGATGTAGAATATTCTGCGAATAATCATTGATATTCTGCGTATGAAGTTTTTGTTTGCGGCTTGGTGAGATTTCTCGGAAAGTTGAACGCAGCGCTAAAATCATTTAAATTGTTCATTTTATATTGTTTGTTATATATTTTTAATTAATGCCGCGATCAGTGCAGGAATTTTATTTAACATTATCACGTCATCAATGATTGGTACAACCAATGTGTCTGGAAAATTGTGAATTGCTTCATTCATCTATCAGTCAAATTCCAGGTGATGCTCAGTAATTGCAGGAATGGAAGCCAAATTTTAATTATAATTTTCGCAAAATGAACTTCCTCTTGAATAATTTGCCAGTGAGCAGCCATGATTACATTCATTAAAGTTTTAGTATTTTTGCCCTGGGTTGAAGAAAGTTTTATCATCCAAATTATTTTATGCCTATCCCGATAATTAGCGCTCGATTTCTGTTTTCTGGTTGATCATGCAGGTGCGATTCATTATTCATGTGAGAAAGGTGAGCAACGCTACCTGTTCGTATAACTTCGCTCTTTATGTCGCTGTCCAATACGTTATAAATTCTTAAGAAAGATACCTATTCAATTAGTATCTGGAGTCTTCGTGTAACTCGTGTGGTCTTCTGCGTAGGAAAAATTGCAATCAAGATCCATCGCAATGCGACTAAAAATTTAAATTGCAAAGCACTTGTATTTTTGCGGTATAACTGTCGCATTATTTGTTGATAGGACGCAATTGTTTAACTTTTATGCGCAGTGGTTCAAATAATACGTTTTATACTAAATTGAAAATAAGTTATCATATTTTATTATTAATTTTTATTTAAGTTTTTACGCAGTCTGGTGGTTTGCGTCATATATTATTTAATGAACTATTTCCTGGTTATTTATTTTTAGTCGTTCTTGGTATCAAAACTTGAGATTGTGTTTCTCTTCAATAAAATAATTTGCTAATGGTCGCAAGAAATGCTTCGAAATAAATAAACTTCATCTCTGATAAAGCTCATGCTAGATCGTCAGGCGCAGGGGTGTGCAAATCGCCAGTTTCAAGACCTTACACGAGTCTCTTTAAATTAGAAGGCTTAATAAGAACTGACCAACCATCATTAAAATTAGACTACAGCTTCATTAAACTTTTATTTGTGTTTGTTGCTTTTTCAGCGATTTAATATATTATTTCTACAGCATTCCTGCCATACTGTTATCTTTCTCTGTTCGGCCAGTAAATTCAAACTTTATGCCCATTTCTTGAAGATTTCAGTGTAAAAAGAAACTAAGTCAGAGAAAGTTTATGTACTGTTCTAGTATCTCAGGGTGATTACATTCTCGTGTATCCACCTCAGCAGCTATCAGGTGATCACTGCTATCTCTACCGAACGATCCCTCCGTTGACTTTGATTGTGTAATGGGAACGACATACAGTTTTGTCCGCAGGCAGCGTGAGTATCACCGTAGATTAAGCTCCCAAATTTCGGTGCGATATACAAACATGAATGAATTCAGAAATTTGTTATCACATCCATTTTTGACATCATTTCCACAATCTTTGTTCGAGAGTACAATAGATGGCCGAAGAAATTGTTACAAATCTGTGACCGGGCTGCATACGTACATCTGATGGAGGAAGTACGTCATAAATAAGGTTTTAAATACGTGCAATGTATTGTTGATGTGTCACTGGAACGGAATCTTGGTGTCATTCTTGTGTAAGGTTCATCTCAATAATTGTGGATGTTAGAGGATAGTTTGATCGAATTGTATTGATTCATGCAATCTCACTGTAAAATACGCATCCGCTGCACAATAATTGTTATCGTATGCTTAGTTATGTACAAACTTGTAAAACATTTCTCACTTAATCTTTGTATGCAAAATACTAGGGAATAATCATAATTAAAATTTATATATTTTACATAAGATTGTAATTTCTCATGAATATAAATGTGACTAAGTTTAACCTCTGCGCACTTAAATTTGTATCGTCAATTTGTGTGGGAATCCTCGTGCAGATCTTGCGAGACGCGTCTCTAGCTAAACAAATATCATATTATCTGCCCTGAAATCTTATTAAAAATGTAATCCTCAACTGCGAGATTTCATGTTAATACATTGTTTTCAAGCTCTCCAGTGTAGAGCTCCCTGATAACTCCGTAATTTGATGTTAAGTTGTTGTGTAAGCAAGATTTCCGCACTTATCTTCTGTCACATGTGCGGAGGGCCGGCGTTTCGTGTAAGCGACCGCTATTATATGAGTGTCTTTGTTTTTGTTGTTCGCATTCTTTTCGTCTTCGTTATTCGTTCCGCCGAGGTGCTAACGTCGCACCTTTCCGGCCATTTGAGACGTTCCGCCCCACGCGACTGATGAACTAATTGTCTTTGATTTAAAAATGTTTCTTTACTCGGAATCTTGAATGTTGTTGGTGATGTTGATTTTGTGACGCTTCACGAAGAAAATTCTTGGCTGAGTGAACCGTGTGCCCATAAAGCTGTCACTACTACAATTGAATAAGAAATCTCGATTGTTTTATATTGAAAGTCAGAGGTCTGAATGTCTAAGGACTGAACTCCAGCCATAATATTCCATATTCTTTTTAAATAGCTGTATTCAACTAGTCCCGAGCCATTCTGTATCGTCATTCCATCTGTGTAGGTTCCTTGAAGTGAATTTAAGTAAGCCAACTACCACCCTTTGGAATTACCTTTAACCGATATGCTCTCTATTTTCTTTAATATTGAAATTTTAAATAAATATATCCGTTTGCTTTCAGCACATCTTACGACGTCTTGTTATGCTTGAGATCGTTGTAAGATGAAGCGCTTCTCATCATATCGTCGGCGAACTTTAATTTTGTTTTACTTCGTCTATTAGCACCTTTATCTTCTGAGCAATATTCTAAAGTGTCATTTTAAGGAATCGAACCCGTAATTTCAAATGTCCCGTGTACGTTAGATTATACATTCTAGATTCTGATGTTTTCACTGTGACCGATTTCCCTGGAAGAGCGAACAACCGAAAAGTGAGCAAGCAACAGGGAATGATAGTAATTATGTTTAATGATCCTCTAATCGTCATATAAGAGGTGTGTTGACTATGGATGCTCTTTAGTTAACTAATCAAAAATCCAAAGTTATAAACGTATTTTATTATTCATGTAAAGTATGTCTCATGCTGCGCCAACAATTTTTTCAAGAGTTTCAGCTATTGATAAACTTTACAAATATTTTTTACCTTTTATTTGCAATTAAACATGCCAAGTGACTCGAACACTTGAATTTATTCCTGATAAGTTGTATAGTATTTTTATACTTTAATTTCTAGTCATGTCTGATGCTTCATTTTCTGTACATATTTGGCATTAAATAGCCGGTGTTTCCTCCTAGTTTCATTTTCCGTTTGCTGCATGCGCTGATGGTTGAATATTGCTGAACTCCAGCCTATTATGAGATTATCAACATTAATGAATGTCATAATTTATATGTCATCGGTGACATGAAACGACCCTAAATTTATTTACAGAAAATACTATTTATACTCTGTTATTTTTTCAACAAATGTAAGGCTTCAAATCCGAACATCTTCAAAAACAGACTAGACGAAGCTATGCAGGAGCATATGTTCAGTCTTAAAATGCCTAGCAAATTACGGAGCAGGCAATAAGTCCAGCAGCTATCTCAATCAATCGTCAGCTATGGAAAGATCGGGTTGCAAAGGCCGGATCCCTTGTGAATCACGTCACGAAAAGTTCAAGAATCGGCAACAGGCCATGGGCCTATGTCTTCAACGCCGACACTTCTATTCTATTCTATTCTATTCTATTCTATTCAATACTGATTTGTATGCCATTTACCAAACGCAATTACGATTGACTAAATTCTTTTAAACGCGCATTCCTAAAGCAAAATCCTGAAAAGATTATTAGTAAGCAACCATATATTCGGTTGTAATTTGCAAACATGGAAACTCCTTTCATTTACCACTTTTGTGAGGTGTTTGACGTGCGCTTTTTGCTTCTTTGTTGATGATAGTTCACATGAGAATTTAAACATTCCGATATAGTAAGTTTTGACGCGGGCAAATTTTTGTACACCCTAATAATAATTTGAATCAGTTCCATCTAAGGAGAACGAGGGACAAAGCATGCATTCTGCACAGGTTGCCGCATCGCTATGGTTGAAGTCCAACTTCCGCCAGGACTGTGCCAGCCAGCCACACGTACAAGATGGCACCAACAAAACTCAAAAGTCCCACGCAGCAGAACAAATGGCCACATACACTCCTTTTTTTCATTCGGTTATCAGAATATGGAACAACCGCAGTGCCGGAGTCGTGGCAGCAACATATACCTACCGGCGTTCCAGTCAGCCGTGCAGGGTTGGTTGAGGGCAGTCCACTGGACAGTCATCATACCAGCATGAAACTCTTCAAGCAGGCTTTCGGCAAGACCTTTTGCTGTCGAGGGCATGTGCACCGCCTCCAGTAGTGGACTTTTTCTTCAATTTTGAAGAAGCTGTTGTACCATGAAGAAGAAGAATAACGTATCGTTTTTTTTTCAAGCGGAGCAAAAATAAATAAAAAAATTCGAATCAAAATCTCAGCCGGTTAAATCGTGCTACCAACACGCTATCTACGTAGCGAATGTTCCATATAACATTCAACCTTCGGTGAAAGTTAGAAACATTCCTTAATGACGAAACCGTTCACTCACAAAATTTGATCGGAACAACAACTTTATACCGACTGAATTCAAAAGACCGTCCTTAATTGAAATAGTTAGTTATTTTATTGGGTGAGATTCATTGAAACCTGGTGCAGAGACCAAAGCCAATCAATCCCCGGATTAAAAGCAAACTTTTTTTGTAAAACATCAAATGTACGGCAAAATTTTCAATTATTTTTACCAGCAAAAGAATTCTCTGAATTATTCACGTAGCAAATTATCCGTTCGTTTAAACTAAACACAAAATTGTCCCGATATTAGCTATGTTCTAAAGCGAGTGAGTTATTTTGTGCCAGCAAGTCAAATCGCATTTCATCCAAAATAACTTTAGCATGAAATATGCTTCTATATAACTTTTATTTCCGTAGAGCTTTACTTCTGGAGCTTCACTTCTATGAAGTTCTACTTGTAAAGAGATGAACTTCCATTGAACTCGACTTCAATTGAGCTTTACTGCTAGATAATAAATAAGTGAATGAGACAATTAAATGTTCGATTTTCCATTGAACATAAGCAATAATTAAGTCTAAAAGCTGAATATTATGTGACATTCTTTATTTGTTTGTTAATTTGGATATATTTTTTCAATACTGTTTTAGCAATTCCCTTTTTATATAATTTATTTTTTGTTTGTTTACAAAATTTCAAGCTGTAAAATCTACCCTTGAGCGATATGGTATTATTCCACAAATCATGATAGAAGTACCCACATTTTCTAGATCACCCATGGCATCTATGTGAAGACACATGTCACCCGTAATTCTATTAACTAGTTGTACATAAACAAATTCTTTACGTGTTTCCTTGTGCGCGTTAACTCAATAACAAAAACTATCAACTATCAAATTAAAAAACGTCTCTCAGCGCAATGCTCTTGACAGGTCCTGCAACTTGACGACTTCTGACGACGGTTGGGGTGAACGGAGGTCCGCTCATAATTCAATTAATCCCTTTGATGTCAAGTTAAGAATTTTTATGATCAATTTTGTTATCACTACAAACACGCCCGACTCGAGGTCACCTCAAACGCCCTGCAGCTCGAACGTTACTCCGAACGACTAACTTAATCTCTTCACGAAGAGTTTAATTCCTACGTATAACAGCGTCAACATTATGATTTATAACAATTAACATTATGATTTATAATCCACATCCGTGCCATCATTATAATTTTGCTAGAATTTACTACCACTATTTTTGTCAAAAGTTTCAATTGCTTGCATTTTTATTCTATACAGTATAAGCATACATTCTAGAGTAGACGTTCGCCAAAATTTTACCGTTAATAAACATATTTATATGTAGAAATAGCCTCTTTATTTTCATCATAAACATGTCTTTGAGACAATTATAAAAATAAATAATATTTTTCCAACAGTTTCTGAAATTCAAGGACACCAGCTGTGAAGTTTCGTGCACTGCCACGCACCACACTTCTTACTCGGCTTGCACACAGTGCATGAGCTTTGTCTCCAACGTCACCGGCAAAATATTCCGTTCCGTTGTCTCGGTAGGAATTAATAAAAGCTTGTGTCGCCAAGAGGAGGCATCCACGATAAGTGAACTAAATGTCTTCCCTCAACATTAGCGCATAAAAGTGGCATCGTGTTGAACTTTTTTGCAGAAACTTAGCGAACGTTCTATAATATTAATGATATTCTTCAAGCAAAAATTTCCTTACAGGAAATAATGAGCATGCATTAGTTGCCCAGCTGGAAATAATCATCGACCAGCAGTGATTATAATTTGTTTTCAATTTCTTGTTCCATTATTTGTGTCAATTAATTGACTAATGAATACATTTGACGGAAAAATCGAGGGACATCAGAGAAAAAGGGAAAACTTTAGACATAAACATATTTTCACTATTGGGAAATTTTTATTTTTTATACTTTCATTATGATGATTGACGAAAGACAGCAACATGAATCAATTTGACAAAACTTTAAGAACATTTAGACCAGTTCGTTCGTCTTATGTGCAGTTTTGATCTCATTATTTCCATTACAATTCCTATTTACGAAAATGTGAGCTTTGTACCAATTATGACTCCTTCTCTACTAAATCATAAACTACAATTTTAGCTTGGATTCCTCTTTTTCAACCAAGTTTCGTGAAGAATTATTTCGCAGTATATTTTTTAGAATACAAATATCTGAAGATTTTCATCATGATGACATCCAAATGTTATTGAGTGTTGAGTTACTCACAATGACGTGTGACAGTAGCATGGAAAGTTTGTAAATAAGATACCCAAACGGGCTCATTGTAAGTAAGCTCCAGTCAAATTTAGTGTAAACGATTTTGAAATAATAATAGACATGGAAAAATGAGCCCTCTTTCTAATTGAAATAATTTCCTGCGTGTAATGACAGACATTCTAGTATCAAGGATGCTTTCAGGATAAGGCTTGTACTTCCTTCATTGATGCATCAGAAGTGACAGTTTGGACGCTGCGATGGCTTGGAAATCATTCGCGTGACGACCGCAGCAAAGGCGAGAAACTCGTCAATGGATAGAGACAACCTCGTTGTCTTGCGACAGTACAATATCCAAGTTACTCTACCGGTTAATGATAAAAATTTGGCGGAACTTTTAAGTGAGAATAATGACAACAGCCTAGAAGAAAAGATTTTACAAAATTTAATTCCTGATAAAGAACAGCAGGTGGCTTTGCAGCATCAGTCTGCGGGTGAACATTCTTATCGTAAGCATTAGCAAGTTCCCTAACCCAGCATCTTCACTTCGTCTGAAAATATTTAACCGTCTGAGATGCAGCCCGAGTCTCCTTTACTGAATAATTGCGGCCAGATTCAAGGAAACTGCCAATTCGTAATGCCTGCACAAATGACGCTTTAGCGTCCAATTTGCGCAATCTAAAACCACGTGTGCGGAGCAAATGATGGCTAAATGTCTGATGCAAGTGTTGGATTTGGTACAAGATATAATTCAAATCAGTGCTTTAATAATCCAAGTTCGTTTCAACCTAATACAGCAATACAACCACCGGGACTACAGGCTTCGTTTCAGCCCTGCCGACAGCCTATAACGTAGTGCGCAACTGGAACGCAAATGCATCCGACCTGTCCCACAGCGTCAGTGTAGCCAAGTTCTTGCCTTGGATCATCATGTTTCGGGGTTGAAAATTCTCTTCAGAATTCAAAACCATAAACATATAACGTGATTAATCCGAATAATCATCGCATGAACTAAAACCTCCCGCCGAGTTATTAATGTTCGAATACATGCTTCGTAAGTCAGCCCCACTGTTCACTGGCGTTCTAAGGTTAACATGACACTGGAAATCCTGGACCTTTCCTGCAATGTCAGTAAAACTAATAATATGTGATGGCTCCTCCTCAAATTTTTATGCATAATGGCGCAAACGGACAACAGATACAGCCGGTCACCTCTTAGTCTTTCAACAATCGTCATTGTAGTGCCACTCAATAAAATCCGAATAATTGTCTTCCGCCAGTAATGCCTCAGATATACGCCATGAATGGTGCTCCCTAAGCCCAAATGAATTATCATCATAGGCCGATAACCCCTGCGAATATTCCCCAAAGGTTTCCTCCGTCCTACGTGGGGAGTTTTCCAAGTGCCTGTATGCAACCTGGAACCGCGGAGCAGCAGACTGGAGCCGCGCCCGTGTA